ACAGAACAAACACTACCAGAAGCTCACAGACAGAAGCGTTTGCTAGAAGACAAACGTAAACTAAATGAGAATCAAAGGGTTCAGGAGTCATGTTTATGGAGAAATTGGAGAGAATCATCATCCAGGCGTCACCTCATCTTCTCTCCACGCTCTGAGAGAAGAGAGAAGTTGGTCGTCCATGCTGTGTGGACTAAAGGGGTGAATGAGGAGGAGATAAGGCACCTGAAGGCCACCTATGAGAGGCTTGTGGTGGAGGATAAAGAATGTGATTGGTTGAGCAGAACACGATGGATCCCACATCCTCATATCCTTAAACACATAATACACATGTAAACAAGTCATAGTTAAAATTCTTGATAATGTAATTTGTATCCAGTGGATTGTGTCATGCAACATTGTGTCAAATTTATTTTCCAAATGCTCTGTTGTTTGTTCTTTGACTCTGCTGCACCAACCAGCACTCCTGACGACGGGCCAAGAAGATGGCTGGATGGGATCAGGAATCACATGACAGGTTGTGCACGTAGTGAGGGATATTACTTCATCAGCAAGAGGGAAAAGCTGCGATATCTCTGTGATGAGTTTGTTGTAGATACTCAGGTGAGAAAGAAACAGTGTTTAGTTTATTTTTAACTAAAACTAAAATCATTCAAACTTGTTTAAGTTTTTGAAATATAATAAAGATATAATAAAAAATGAAATATTAGAGGAAAACGATAAATTAAAGCTTTATAAAAAACAAAAATTAACAGTAAATGACACAATTAAACTGAAAAAAATCGAAAAATTAATAAATACTATAATAGCAAATAAATTACAAAAATAACACTGGAAAGAACAACATTTATTTGACTGCTAACATTTATGACGGTTGCTATTCAACTGTAAACATGTTTAAAGACTTCATTCCTGTCTGATGTGTTTCTCTGTGTGCTTTTGCATGTAGTGATTTAAAGGTGCAATAATTAATTTGTTTCACTACAAAAGGTTTTACTTCGAGGGATATATAACTTTGGTTTATATAGGGATATAACAGAGTTTTACTTTGAGGTATTAAATGAAGACTCAATAATATCAATGACCTAGAAAAAGCTGTTTTATTCTACCATGGCCAGCATGTAGAGACATAACCAGGTGTGTTGTGCAATTTGACAAAGTTAGTCAAAAGCTTCATGCATCCACACCAGTGGGTGCAGTATAAAATTAAAGTAATTTAGAGCAATTTGAGAATTATGTTCTGATATATGCAGGGAAAGAGTGTGCCAGCTCAGATTCCACCTTCATCCAGATCAGGCTCAGAACTCAGAGCGGAACAGCGTCGTCTGTTGTCCTCATTCAGCTGTGACAGTGACCTCCTCAAATTCAACCAGCTCAAGGTGAGGCCAGCTGTCCCAACAACAGCATAACACAGCATATGATATGCTAGAGCCACCAGAAACACAAAAACATTAAAGGTCTGTCCACACTAAGGGTGTTATAACTATAACAATTGTGGAAGCTTGTTTCCACCACTAAATAAAACAATTTAAAGATAATTGCAACCTTTTTCTCAAAATTGCAAGATGTAAACTTGCAATTCTGAATGTTTTCTCTGAATAAAGTGATATAAACTCACAATTGCAAGTTATAAAGTCAGAATTGCAAGAAATAAAATCAGAATTGCATGATAAAAACTCACAACTGCAAATTATAAAGTCAGAATTGTGATATAAACTTGCAAAACATGTCTATATCTCGGACTTTATAACTCGCAATTCCGACTTCTTTCCTAACATTTTGTGAAATATAAACTAGCAATTGTTAGCAAAAGTTATAAAGTCCAATTCTGAGGGAAAAAAAGTGACTTTTGTCTAAAGTGAAAAATTCAGATATCACAATTCACAATTACCTTTTTTCTTTTTTTTTTTCTTTTTCTGTGGCGGAAACAAAATTCCATATACAATAATTATAAAGTTTTAATAATCGTTCTAATTCAATGTGGATACGGTAGTCCACACCACAACTACCGGTATACCAAAAATGACACAGAGTAATGATACTTTAATGTAATTTTGCTTCTCATGTAAATGTTTATATTTGTACTGGAAAACAAGGCAAAAATACATAGAAAGACAGTTATTTTTTTTTTGCTGTGCCGAACGATATTGTGCATTGGTGTGGACATTAATATGGTTATACTTTTATAGTTATCGTTTTTGGTGTGAATGGGCCTTAAGAGTCCACAACAGACCAGTTTTGCATTTTTCAGTATGGTCCACATGGAGCACAAATATATTTCCCTCTTTACAGTTCCGTAAGAAGAAGCTGCGTTTTGGCAAGAGTCGTATTCATGACTGGGGGCTGTTTGCAGAGGAACCTATTGCTGCAGATGAAATGATAATTGAATATGTAGGCCAGAGCATTCGGCAGGTGAGATTTCAGCAGTCATTTCTGAGTATAAACTTCAGTGATGGCCTTTTTCAAGCTGTAAATTGATGATCACAAATGTATTTGTATATTATTATCATATCCCAAATCCTGTCTGTAGGAGATAGCGGACATGCGTGAAAGGCGCTATGAAAACGAGGGTATTGGAAGCAGCTATCTTTTCCGGGTAGACCAGGACACAATAATTGATGCAACCAAGTGCGGTAACATGGCAAGATTCATCAATCACAGTTGCAATGTACGACCAGAAACACTTTTAAGTCATTCATTCATAATACATTGTCAATATGCATAAGAATTGTTTCCTTTTGTTGTTTAGTGATTGCTATGAATTTAATTAATTTCCATTTTTAACATTTTGTGCTTACTGGTTTCATTTATGTGTTTTTCATTCCATAGCCGAACTGCTATGCCAAAATCATCGCTGTAGAAGCTCAGAAGAAGATAGTCATCTACTCTCGGCAACCTATTGGTGTAAATGAAGAGATCACTTACGATTACAAATTCCCTATTGAGGATGAGAAGATCCCCTGCCTGTGTGCTGCAGAGAACTGTAGAGGAACCCTTAACTAGACAAGGACTATTCTCACAATTTCAAAGTATTAGCAGTAAACAAGTTTCAGACTGTACATGAACTTATTCTTTAAGAACAAACCTCTGTATTTAAAATACATTTATTTCATACTAAGTATACTACAAATCCATTCATATATTCACTGACATATTGCTTGAGACTTACTGATATGAATAATATAATTCAACTTTATTTGGAGTACTTCTTTATTGCACAATGCACATTTCTTAATATTAAGTCTAAAATGTGTTTTAACATCACTATTAGTGATAGTATGATCCCTGTATAATATCAGTCTTTAAATGCAAGATATTTAAAGTGCACCTAAAGTATCAAATATACAATCAAATATACTTAAGTATATCTTTAGTTGGACCTCAGCACTATTTCTGGATAACTAAAGTGCATTAAGTACAAAATTAGTTGTTCCAATTTAGCAGACTTAAAGTATACCAATTTAGTACACTAAAAGTATAATTGCAGGGTATTTATATTAAGTGCATAAATATGTAAATGTATTTGTAGTATACTTAGCATAAAATAAATGTATTTTAAATACATTTTAGTATATTTATTTTAAACTAGGGCAGTCTTTTAGGAATACGGATTTTTAAATATTCTCAAGGACATAACATATTCCTGACTGTCGCAGACATTTTTCACAGGAGCAAATGACAGTTTAACATGAAAATACACAAGCAGTTAATGTTATCTCCAGAAACTCAGATTTTATATTCTGCATGTGTAGATTTGTAAAATGTGCAGAGCAACAGGCCATCACTGGTTAAATTTAGTTTTCATCATGGTTATTGTTGGAAGGTTTGAATTGGATTCAAGTTAAATATGCTTTCATGAGTTTTATTGTGAAATATAAATTAAAAACGTGTATTTTTCCAAATAAATGTTTTTATTTTCTGCCTACTATCGAACTTTATAGACTTATGTGTAAAGCAAAAATGATATGTTTTTGAATTCATTTCACTACTTTTAGTTTTTGTTTTGTGCTTCAAAAATGGGTGCCTCAGTTAGTCGGCTATCCGCTGAACAGTGCTTAGCTTTGTAAAACCTTTACATCGTATTTTTTAGTCTTTGACTATTTTTGACGCCAGGAAAAATGTTAATGGAGAATGCGGGCATTGATCCTGCTACCTCTCGCTCCCCGTTGAAGACACATCCGTCTAAAACAGACAATTTCAATCAAAATGGAAAGGAAAACGACATTATTATCGAATAAATATATTTTTTGTCGTATACTGATTTTATTTATGTTATATGATTTTTTTTTTTTTTTTTTTACGTAAATTACTGCGTCCTTGCAGCGGCGTTATTTCAACAACGTGTTGGCCATAAAGTTTTAGCCTAGTGTGCTTGTTTTCCAAGGAGGCAGAGTCTGTTAAGAATTCGAGACGAAAAATAAGACATGAAACAAAGAAAAATCAAGGTAGGCTATTTTCATAAAAAGGATTTTTTTTATTGCGCTTCATTTCCAATCAAGCTGTAATTTTGTCAAATTATGCATCAATGAAGTGATGCATAAAATGCCATCAATGAAATTAGCCTTGGCAAGACGAAGTACATTTCATTCCACTAGGCCATCATTTATTTCCACCACAGTATGCTGGTAAACACAAAACATAACTTGAGACGCAGATCATGTGGTGATACTGTGGTGGGAATGTTCATGTTTCCGTTTCTTTTCTAAAAGTCCACAGGGTCAAAAGTGACTGTTTGCAATTGTAAATAAACACGTGGTACATAGCCTACAGAGGTGTAAAGTCCAGGGGTCCGAAAGTAAAAGTCCTGCCATGTGTTTATTCCACCCATGAACTCAGCCTGCTGATTTTACTAATTAGTTTTATCTCCTGGCTGAAAAATTATGCTAATTAGCAAATCCAGGTGATTGGAACAAAAATACTGAGGAGGACTTTTACTTTCTGAACCTGGACTTTACACCTCTGTAATATAATGGCCCATACTTGAAAACCATCAACAATATGACAAAGCAAATCGTCAGCAAGTGTCATGTGCGAATTTCAATGTGTACACCATGCATTTACTATGAATAGCCTATTCAGAGTTTCTCGGATGTGCCATTGGGTGTAAGGATGGTGAGGTTTCCTCTGGCATTCTGGTCAGCTTCAATAGCCTCAAACAAAGATTTGAAATTTCCAGCACCAAAACCCTGAAAAAGTAGAGGATTTTCTGTTATTAATGCACTACCATATATCTACACATTTAGGAGACATTTCCGAACAATAGATTTGATCAATTCATTGCAAATATAAATATGAATGTATATGTTCTGAAACGATTTCTGAAATATTTGCTATATTCTGAGATTTATAATAACAGTCTTACTTGATGGTTGTGTCTCTGGATGACCTCTAGAAACACGGTGGGTCTGTCCTGTACTGGTTTCGTGAAGATCTGGAGCAAGTAGCCATTGTCGTCATAATCCACCAAGATTTTAAGTTCCTGTATAAACAATGCCACGTTATTTTCACATTCTGCTTTAGACCTGTTAAAGAAATTCAGGTGGCCAATAACTCTTTGCTGCATTTCCTTCAACCAAAAGAACATATTTAAAATTTAAACTCTGCATTGTTTCACTTTTCTGATAGTAAGCTGATAAACACTTTGATTATTGTATTGTACCTCCAGTATGCTCATGTCCTCAACAATTTTGACTTTGGAAAGCTTCAGATTCTCCTTGAGCTGCTGGTAGTAAGTGTCAGGCACTGACATGAACTCCATACCACGTTCCTTTAGGTTACGGATCTGAAAACATATCCTTGTCAATGCAATATACCATATACCTAAAGTAAACTTTTTCAGCTTTCACAAAGAACAATTCCAACCCTTTTCACTCTACACATGTATTTTATCTCTGTATCGATGTTGTAAAACCCTTGGATGAAAAGCTTTTACTCACTGCTGTAATGATGTCAGAGGTGTTCATGGCAATGTGTTGAATCCCTGGGCCACCATAGTACTCCACATACTCCTAAAAGGAGAAAAGATAGTCAAATGAATGGATGGATAGATGAAAGTACAGTAGATGTCATGTCTGTAATACGTGCCTGGATCTGGGACTTGCGCTTTCCCATGGCTGGTTCATTGATGGGCATTTTCACAGTTTCTTCATAGTTGGCCACCACTATGGAGCGCAGCGCACTGTATTCAGTCTGTAACTGCTTGTCGTCTACAGACCAGAATCTGTGGAACAGCAGGTTCCTCTGATACCTTCATACAAATGCATACAGGTCAGTTTAACACAGTGATCCTGATGTGAAAAGCATGGGCAAAAAAAAAAAAAAAAAAAAATGCAAGTCACAATTTATGATCAGCCAAATGATTATACATACTTTTGGAGAAGTCATTAATATATATATATATATATATATATTTTTATAAACCTCAGCCTGTATTTTCCTTTTTTCTTTCAGATAGGCCTATTTGTGGGATGCATTTTCTTCCTTTAGAAACAAATGCATATTCATAAAAAAAAATAAAAAAATTGATATTTTTATTTGTCAAATATTTTGTTTTATAACGAATCTACTGCATCTTCACAGATTTTCTTAGTATTTTTGTCTTGTTTTTTCATTACAAATATCAACAACAACAAAAACATCTTAAATCAAAATACATTTAATTGAGATGGAAAATGACTTAAAATATAAAGTCTTGTTTTCTTAAAAATGTATTCAATTTTTTAAAAAGAGTTTATGGTTTAAAAAAGCAACAAAAAAAATACAAATTTCCATTTTGAATTTAGTCTTTTTCTTTCCCCATTGACATAATTTTTTATTTTGTTTTAAGCATAAACTATTTTTAGTATCTTAAAGGGATACTCCAGCCAAAAATGAAAATTCTGTCATCATTTACTCACCCTCAAGTTGTTGCAAACCTATATGAGTTTATTTCTTCTGATGAACACAAGGGAAGATATTTTGAAGAACGATTGGAACTTTGGCATTGACTTCCATAGTATTTTTTTTTTCTACTATGGAAGTCAATGGTGCCAAACAACTGTTTGGTTCCAATCGTTCTTCAAAATATCTTCCTTTGTGTTCAGCAGACGAAAGAAACTCATATAGGTTTGCAACAACTTGAGGGTGAGTAAATGATGACAGAATTTTCATTTTTGGGTGGAGTATCCCTTTAAGTCATTTTGCCTCTCAAGTAAATCTATCTTCATTTAAGAATGTTTAAATGTTTGCACCGGAAATCAATAAAAAAAAATTAAAAATAAAATTTTTGTGCAGTGTTTTAACAAGAGCTGGACATGATGGGATGGGGTCTGGTTTAGATAATTCTTCTATTCCCACCCCTCAACACCCTCTTTTCCCCCTCCCCGCTGTGTCTAACTGTCTCCAGATGGTGTCTCAGATCCTTTAAAGTAATTTCGCTGAGTCATACTTACTAAGGAGTTTTCTTGCATAATATTCAGTCGTCCACTACCACAGACTGAAATGCAACCACCCCATCTGCTGTCTCTGTCTGTTCTCTCTGAGTCTCTTCTGATCTTTCCTTTCTGTCTTTACTCCATGCTCACCATGGAGACACACTGCTGATCACTGGGGAAGGGCTCTCGTTGTATTCTGACTGGATGCGACGGATAGGGAGTTTCCCCCCAAAGACTTGCGATGTTCTAAGCAAGTATCTCATGTGACTTCTTTTGTGCTTTTCAGTCTTGACAACATTGGCACAGAGGTTTGATGCTGTCTTGCCTGTTCACAATTACGCAGCTGAAATAAGTTCAACAATGTGTTTAGAAAAGTTTTATACCACTCTACTATTGGCACCATCTCATTGTCTGCCTGATTTCCAACCACATGGTCAATGAAGTCCAGCTTCCCGCTTGGCCTGTGAAAGAACAATCACGTTAAGAGACAAAGAAAAGGACATTCATATAACAATCCATCCATGCATGATCAGAGATATGGACCTCTTATATAAGAAGACAAGGACACATAAACGCACTCACAGTTTTGGCCCCCCAAAAAAAGAGAAAAACTCACAGTTTTGCCAAGAAAGGGTCACAGAACAGAGGAGCATGGAATCCTGGGAGGAAGAGCCCATTATATCCTGCCCTCTCTATAAGTGTATGAGTGGTGTCACCATACTAAAACAATAAGAGGAATCAGAGCGGAAGTGGGACAGAAAGATTTAAATGTATATGCACACACACTACAGTCGGTAGGATTTTTAAAAATGTTTTTGAAAGAAGTCTCGTATGCTCAACAAGGCTGAATTTATTCAATCAAATATACAGTAAAACAAGAATATTGTAAAATATTACAATTTAAAATGATCCTTCAGAAATCATTATAATATGCTGATTCAGTGCTCAATAATTGTATTCTTTTTTTATTATTATCAATGTTGAAAACAGCAGTGCTGCTTAATAGTTTTGTGGAAATCGTTACGCTTTTTTCAGGATTCTTTGATGAATAGAAAGTTCAAAGGAATAGGATTTATTTTGAAATATAAATCATTTGTAAAATTATAAATGTCTTTACTGTAACTTTTGGCCAATTTAATGCATCCTTGCTCAATAAAAGTATTAATTTATTTTTGAAACTTATATAAACACATGAGATTATACATACTGTCTGAAGTACTGCCAGCTTCACAGTGCCAAACTTATCCTCCGCAACATGAGACTCTTTAACGATAATGGCACCTCGTTCTCTTGCTTTCTGCAAGAAAAAATTAATAAACCAATAGGTGATTACTGCAAATTATGAAAAAAAGAAGAAATTGCAGCCTTGAAATTGTAATATTTAAATATTGGATATTTAAATCATTTCACCAAAAATTTAAATATTTGTTGAATAACTCATACATTTTTTTGAAAATTGCTTAACTTATTTTCATGAGTTAAAGCAATGTAAAAACATATAATTTTTTTACAGTGAGCATTTACCTCTACCAGGAAGTCACAGTTCTCTACAGTGAAAGCTACATCTTTAACACCATCTCCATGTTTCACCAGGTGATCTCCTATCTCTGTTCAAAGAAAAGGACAGATTATACAATACGGAATGTGGTTTTAAAGATAATCAAATACCAAAAATGACAATACTCATTTATCAGTCTTACCTTTATTACCAGGATTCAAGGCAGAGGTGAAGACATAAACAATCTGGGTATAGAAAACATTGATCAGCGAACACTTCTATGTGGCCTTTTTAAATTCTGACCAAAGCAGATCAAACTGGCCAGGCTTCACAATGCATAAGGAATGAAGAGGATGGACACAAGCTGACTCTCACCTTCCCCTGTTTCACCGCATGAGACACAACATCACGACTGCCTGTCTCCAGCCCACGATACGCCAAGGGCTCAAACCCCAGTTTATTACAGTAATAAGATGCTGCCTGAGAGGAAAACAGACAAAATGACAAGATGGGGAGATCTGAACAAATTCATCACAGCAACTAAAGTTAACAGAATATGGGTAATAAAAGGATATCAGCTATCTGAATTTAAAATAAACTGTTCATCTATATCTATATCGGTATATATACATTTTGAACATTCATATAGGCTACATGAAACAAACTATTCACTGAATCTTCCCAGTGAAACTACATCTTTTGTTTTTGTTTTTTAACATGTGTAGTATGATAATGGCTCCATCTACTGGGGAAATCACAGACATGCCCAAAAAGTCTCAATATGGAAGAAATTAGTGAGTGAAGGATGGGGGTTTCTGCCTCTGCAAGCTTGTTGCCTCCACCCCTGAAAAGAGCCAATAGCATCTCCCTACTGGACACCTCCTCTAATATTCAGAAACAAACTCTACAAACTTAAAGTGTTAAAGAATCACCTGTTTGGCATTTCCAACCCAGAAAGTGATGTGGTCGAAGCAGACAAACCTGCCCTGCTCGTGCTGTTGACATATAAAAACAGAAACGACAGTGATGTACTAACCTTCTATTCTATAAGCAGAATTAATCTAGAGTCTGAAGATTAAGGTATAATGATGTAGCCTACAAGTAAAATCAGAGTCAGAACAAAGTTCAGCATGCAGTGGGCAGTAAAATATCAGTACATTAGAAGAAAGGGGACACATTTCTTAAAGTATAATGTTCTTACATGCATGCATATATAATGCTATCATACCTTTTCACCTTTGTCAGTGTAGGTTGTCTGTAGAGAAAGAAATGAGAAATTTAGGCTTGTTTGAATTGTTTGGTCAGTTAGCAAATCAAATGCATCAAAATCTTAAAATGTCTTAAAAATCAAGTGTTTTACCATCTTTTAGTGGTTCTTGCAGACACCTTCTTCTTGGGTCAGTGGCAGAAATGAGGTGGTGAGTACAGATGCTGCAGATGTGAATTTGTAGTGCTGTGTGTGAGACTCCGCCCATAGAGGACGAGAGCGGCACTGCATGATGCTCTGCTGTCGAAATAAGCTACTATTTTACTAGACAGATTGATATACTATTATAATATATAATATAACATACTTTGTAATAAAACTAGTTTCATATATAATTATTATGGCTTTAAAACTACCTGCAGTCTATGAAACAAGTCAAATGTAAACATCTAACTCTAAAATAGGTACAGAACCAGTCAAGTGTACAACAGAATAATCGATCTTTGGATATCTGTCCGTTTTAAAAAGACATGCTGCGGTTTTGAGCGAGGTTGTGTTTTTTTTGTAATGTCTCCATGCAAAAGAGGAGGAACACGGTCCTTCAACCCTATTGGCTGTTGAGTTGCGCTTGTAGTTTTCAGTATGGCTATGTGAAACGATTTAGTTCAGCAGTCATGAAGATTGATGCATGTTTTTCTCTCTGAGGTAGAATTATAAAAGTTAGTTTAAACTTACTATTAATTCCCATTTTTAAAATGTGCATTCGTAGCCTAACAGTAAAAAAAAAAAAAAAAAAAAAAAAAAAAGATTTACCATTAAGTTATTATAAATTGTTTAAAACAATTAATTTATAGTTACTCTTGTTAGTTAAATTTCAGTATGGAAACAATTAATGTAGGCCTAAATGATTTTAAAGAACTGCATTGTCATACTGACACCAAAAATTCTAACTCCTCTCTGCCTCTGCCATTCCCCTTCTAAAATACTTCATGATGGTAAACATAACGTTTAGTGTAACAGCCCCCACTCCCCCCTTTTAAATAGCAAAATGCTTATAACCGACTGGGGACTTCATTAACAGTGTTTAAGCTGCCACTGAGAACAATGTTGATGCTGAGGACAGATCAGGTGTGATGTAACTTATAATTATTTGCGTTTACACTTTTAAGTAGCTTTGTATAAAAGCGTTACGCAAATAATTAAAACATTAAAATAATTTGCTTTATATATAAAATGTTTATTATAAATTCAGCATCTTATAGGAGCTCTCATAAAGTATTTACATCAGTTTTCTGTCTGGAAATAAAGTAACATTTGTGTGGCCCAGGGGGGAAAACCTCTTTACTGATTTGTGATCATACTGTTACTATGAATCCATCTGATGTAAGTGTGAACCTCTTATGTGTTCTCAGAAGTACAAACCTACTGAGAGCAGGTATTTGCGCAGTAGCTGAAATGCAAATGAGCATGTGTGAGCGTTTAGGGGAAAGATGTTGATGCACATGAGGTATGTTTCTCAAGAGAACAGTGACAGTCTGTAGCCGACGCCGATTGGACAGTTACAGTTCTCATGGGAAATACAGTGCCGTTGGTCTCTCTTAGCTCAATGTGATCTCATCACAAGTCATAAGAGAGATCAGAGCAGAACGAAGAAACAACAAAGATAATACAACATGAGACAAGCTATAAAAATATTATAAAACAAGCATGAAGAACGAAGAAAAGTAAAGAAAAGACCAAAGAAAGCCGAGCATCATGAATGAGCAGACAGCAGAAAACCCAGCCATTGTGCAGAAGTGGTTGCAAAAGAGGAGAAGCCGAGATGACAGAGAGAAGGAGGAAACAAACATGCAGGTTGAAGCTGAGGAACATGAACCTGCTGTTCATGAAGACATGGAGGAGAAGAGTGAAACAGCAGAGGTGGTTACAGACAAAGAAAAGCAGGCTAGAATCCATTCAGTCTTCTCTTTGGTGAGGAGTCAGATCAGGACGCAGGGCGGTTTGGATGGTCAGCGCATGGGCATAATGGATGTTGTAAACCAAATCACGGAACTGGAGAAGAGCAAGAAGGAACATGATGAACCTACACAAACAGTTGAGATCAGCTCATCTGAGGAGAACACAGTGGATCAGGCGGTCCAGACAGAGACCGTAGAAGAGCAAATGACTGGGGAGAATAAGACGGAGAGAGGTGAAGAATTATGTGTAGTCTTGTTGGAGGAGATATTGTTGAACGTCGAGACATTAAAGAGGGATCTGAGAGAGGAGCTCGCTCAGCTTCGCTGCGACATGCAAAGCTACACGGAGCAGGCGCTATTCGGCCTGGAGACCCGCCTTACTAACTTACTGAGAACACAAGCGCTGGCTCGCACAACTCCCATTGCACTTCCCAGAAACCACACAGTCGATCCCATGGAGACCAAGAAACAGAGACCTCCCAGCATGCCTCCCCTGGGAACATCTAGGAGACGAGTGCTCAACCGCACAATGACCACTATCACACCTAAAACTTGCCTACCTCTTTCCCTGGGGCCCCGCTCCAATTCAGAGCCACTAGGGGGCTGGGGTGCTGAGACCGCCTCCAACAACAGCGCTCCAACGTTGCTGAGAAGAGACGAGGCGGTAAGTCATCCCCCTGGGCCGTTGCCTCCTGCTCTACCTCCTGCACAGAAAGGCAAGAAGGCTTTGCGAAGCAGGACTCACATTGGTAAGCCAACATGCTAGAGGTCTGCGACCCAAACACTATTGTTAGTTGGAAAAGGTCATTAAAATGCCATCAGGGGAGACACCAGCATCATTCTGTACTTTCAGAATCAATGATAGAGATCACAAGATAAGATCATTCAATATGAACAGCTGCGGAGAGAGCTGAGGAGCACAAGTGTTCTCTTTGGTGCTATTCTGTGTTGTTTGTCCAATTATTGAAGACAACCAAGAAAAATCCTACTAAATGAATCTCAAAGAAAAAAGGAGGTGATACTGCTGATTACTATAAGACATAGTGACAAAATATACAGGATGCGGAACCGATTAAATTAAACTCTCTCAATCTTTTTATTTTATCACCGGTGTGCTATAATGTATCACATTTCATTTTTAAGTACAATCAACTTGGATGTTTAAGTCATTTCAACTTAAATTACATTAAACTGACTTAAAACATGAGTTGAATCTTGTATAACTTAAAAAAGTTGAAAATTGCTTTACTTATTTTGATGAGTTAAAGCAAAGTAAAAAACATACGTTGTCAAAACTTATTGATCATATATCTTTTTTATTGCACAGAATGATTTTTGTTATTACTGAACTAACAAAACAAATATATCTCTTCCAGGATCCTAATCTATGTATTTTAGTTATGTCAAACTGTATTTAATCAAATGAACAGTAAGGCATATGTAATGCTCTGAAAAAAATTACAATAAGATTCAAATTGTGATTGGTAAAATGTTATTTTGTTGTTTATGATTTTCAAAGTTGTATCAAGCACATAAGCTTATAATAATTTGGATTTTATTAATTTGTTTACATTCACTTTGCACATGTCATTATAGATATATTAACATTATCTATGCACATGATTGGATGTATTTTGTCATATTGTCAGAAATAAAGAAATTAATGCTATTCATCTGTATTGTATTTGCATTTGCTTTGCAGTTCCATTTAAACTGTGTTCATTGCATGTCATTTTTTTTAATTATGCATTTCAATTACAAAGTTTCTATTCAAATTCTTATTATATTATACATACAGGCACAGATTTACATCTGTGCAATTGCAATTGATACATATCCTCTGCAATTTAAGAGCAATTATTGTTATTATTGCAACATCAACATAAAGGCAGTCATATCTGAAAGATTAAAAAAGAAAATATAGCTAAATTTTCCACAACACACCATAAAAGAGTGCATATCTTCGATTGTTCTATAATCACATGCTGGTAGCGACACCTGCTGATCAAACAATTTATTATCCAAAATACATTTGTCAATTTAATGTTCTCATTGAATCTCGAGGTCTCAGCCAATCCTTAACTCTCTAAATTAGTTAAATGTATAAATAGTTTAATGTTAAAAGAAAACAGAGATGGAAAACCCACTGTAAATACAAAACGAAAAACACACACAAAAAAAGTTCCATACGCTGCAGGTCTGCGCAGGTTTGAATTGCGCATGCGCACGGCGCGCGTCCCCGTTTGATGACAGCTGTGCGCTGTGGCTGTTGCTAAAGGGAGGAGAAAATCTCACGACGGAGGACTTTTTTTTATCTCTTTCATTCGCAGCTAGGACCTTTGGGGGACTGTAACGAGAACTCGACTGTAAAACCGACCCGTACCAGTCGCGACTGAATTTAAAACGTCATACCCAGCCGTCAAATTAGTCGGTAAGTCTGTTGTACGCTGTCTCGAGCTGGTTAATGTGACACTTTAGCGAACTGAGCGTTAGCTGCTGTTGGCCTGCTTGTCTCGGTCATGTTGTCACTTTTTGTGTTTTAACCCCGTTTTTTGCCAAACTAAGCTTTCAGGAACATATTTCGATATCTTGGCATATTGATACCCGAATGTAGATTTCAAAGCGCTACTAAGCGAGGTATTTCATTTATTGTTGCGCTATAAAACACGATGATTCTTTTGCTTTTGGTCGCTGACACACCGACTCTTGCAGCTTTTGTTGTTGTCATGCACTTCTCATTGACAGTCAAGCTGGTGTGTTAATGCCAGCTACAGTTTTTTATTTGACAGTGTAAGGCCCTAAGTGGTTTGAATCATTTCCTTTCAATGTGAATTGCACATGTATTTGCAGCCGATGTTTTGTTCTGTTGTCACTCACGTTATTAGGTCTCGCGCTTCTATATCTCTGTGTTTACAGATGGCTCTTATGTGACTGACGTTATAGACATTTCCCCTTGTGATTAAAATTATTATTGTGAAAAATTATTTTCTGTGATGATGGATGACAAATGCTCAGCCATGCACACCTGGGACTCTCTGAATTCAAGGGTTTTCATACTGGTCACTTATTTCCGAACAATCATTTGTCTGGAAATATTATAAGTGACCTAACTACCCCTAAAGGTAGGTTTAGTTAGCACATTCATTTGGCGTGCTTTACATAGAAAAGATAAAATGTAAGAAAAATAACCCTTAATTTAAAACAATGATAAAATAAAAAGAAATGGATAAAAAAATGGCTGGAGCAGGAGTGGAAACTGATGTGATTCAACTGT